CTTAAAAGCCCATCTGATTTAGCTAATATTTAATTCAGAACATATCCATGTGTATGCTAACAAACAGTTTCAGATGGTGTTTAATTAGCATACAAACTCACTGAGCCTGCACATCCAGCTGAAAAGCATGGTATTTTTTGCAGACGGTATATGCTCAAGCCAAGCTCTTCCCAGTATGAACTCCTCCAGAAACACGGACAGGTTTGCACCAGCCTTTTCAGTCACACAAAACTGAAACCACTGAAGATGCATAGATCTTATTTGTAGTCCAGATAGAAAAGAAGCTGCTAAATCACTCAGCAGCTTCCCAGTACTTTGGGTAAGTAACCAATAAGCTGAGTCAAAGCCTTGCATTAGTAAGACAATATTGGGGTGTGAATGTTGGCCTTGCAACACAGCCTGCTCATGCACTGTGTATTTCCGGACAATTTGGATCTATCTCTGTCTGAAAGAAACAGTAAGTAGCAAACACCTTCATGATGCAGGTTGTCCTGATCTCAGCATAATGCATCCAGCTGCTTCAGCATGAAACCTGCTTTGTTTCATCTGACTGCACCAGAGTTGCAAGTTAATTGTGAAGTCATCTGGATTGACCTATTACCATATATATACACATGGTAATAACGTCATTCCAGCAACACAAAGTAGAAGTAAGGTTTACACTGTCCCTAAGCAGCCATTATGTTCGTCATAGTGACTGTACACTGAGGTACAGGAATAACAGAGATAAGGAGAGGCAAGTAAAAAATATCTATTACCTGCTGACATGAGACAGAGATAGAATTTTATTGTTTCTGTTTTAGCAAGAAACTAATTAAATTGTGTCTGTTGTCTCTATGTGGAAAGGAGTTGCGGGAATTCATGGATGCACGCAAACCCATGCCCACCATTTTGCCCACCGCTCTTCACTCTGCAAACCCTTCTTGTAATGCAGTGGTAGGCAATGACACTATCTGTTTGCTTAATGCAGTAACCGAACCTTCAAGTATTTGAGGAAACAAATTCAGCACAAAATGGTCATGGTAGTAATAAGAAAACAAACTTAACCAGCAGGGTGTACAGTCTTCGCCACTGGTGTTAAAGTGCCATTTTTTTTATCGCTAAGGTACGAAGATTGGACCTATGCGGATTCACGGCAAATGTCTTTTCTATTAAACGGATATAAGGCCAGGTCTATTCACTCTCAAAACACTATTTCAGAAGCATTAGTTTTATGACAAACGTATCTTACTGCAACAAGTGTGGTTGTTTTGAGGGACACAGACATTTCTGGCTTGCCAAAGTGGCCTTTCCCAGTGACTGCCCAATGAAGCTCCACAGATGGACCCATGCATTCTTGTTGGAAAGCACATTCTGGCTTCTGAGAAATTCAGATTTTGATTTATGAACAAAGCACTTCAGCAACATGCCAGTCTAAGCTGCAAAATGATTAAGTACTCCTTAAAGAATGGAGCAGCCTGTATTTGTCAGAAAACTCAAACGCCTGAGTTACTGTCTTTAAGGGAAAATAATAAGGCTAATATATTTACTGAGACAGAAAAAAATACTCCTTTGCACAGCTGGAAACAGACTTCTGAACAATAATGCAACACAACATGTTTTCAGGGACTATCCAGAGTGAAGTCTCCTAGCCTGCTGTCTGAAGGATTCCCTTCCTCGCTGTCACTTGACTGCAGGACCAAGCTGGGACTCCACTGGGAAAAGTCCCTGCCAGACTGAGTCCTCAGGCAGTGCCTTCACCCGCTCTTTGTATTCTGAGTCCAGCAAAGTAGCCACAATAGAATGAAAGATCAAAAAACAGCCTTGAAGACTGTCTTATTCTACTTATCTCTCTCTTTTTTTTTTCCAAATTTATAGAATTCCATCTTGTTGTAGCTTTTGGCTGAATGATGTGGAATGCAAATGTCCTAAGCAAAAAATTCTTCCTTCTTTTCTTAAATTCCCTCTCACCTCCATTTCTTTCTTTTTCTTTATTTAGTGGCAAGCAAGGTATCATCAAATGGGCTGTTTTAGCTCTTCATAAGCTGCATGAAGGAGATGGGAACACATAGAAAAAGTGTTCATGGTGCTTTTTGAAACAAAGTGTGGACTGGACTTTACAGTACTGCTTCCTGTCCACTTAGTTTTAGTGAGCCTTCATGCTTCTCTTTTAGGGACTTCTTGGCATAAACATTTTTTAAGAAATCTGCATAAATGTGACAGTGGAGAATCTCCATTAATTATATATAAAACACCCTCCTACCCTTGTTGTCTACAGCTATATAGACAGTCTTTTATAGTCTACTTAATTATAAATAGATTTTTATACCATACACCTCATTAAGCACCTTGGTCCAAATACACTTCTGAATATAAACTCTGATGCTTGCAATATCAACACAGCAAAGTTTACGATTTAATAAAAACCACTCATTAAATTGAGAAGCAGAATTTGCTCTCTCTTGCAATCCTAACAGACTTCGACCTCTCCTCTGCTATTGCCTCACCTTATCGTCTAGTTTGTGTACTCGGATTTTATTCAACAAATGAACTTACACTTTGGCAAACAAATGGAACATTGCAGATCATAATAATGATGCTCCTCGGGCATACAATTCAGAGACCATTCTTTCAGAGTGAAGTCCGAAACGTCAGGACTTGAAAAGTCTGATGGTCTGTGAAGGCTGCAATTTTTGTCATGATTACGCTTTTTTCCCCCCCCACCACACTTATGTCAAATTTTTAAAAGAGATGCCTGTCTTTTTACACATTCTAAGTAGGTAGAGCAGGAAAAATTATTTCAAAAATAGCTTTTTATTCCTTTCCAGATATTAACTTGCATTTTATTTTCTCTCCCCACACCTGTGATTCATCTGTATTTATGTACTTTACTACAAGTTCATCTTCATGCCTGTACCTGGTTTGCACTTAATTGTGGCACACTGTAATATGTCAAGCTTCTCTTGCTCTGTCTGCTTTGTTCTGTATGAATTCAGCAGCCACAAAGTCAGACAGTCAGGCATATTGACCATGAACTTCAGGAAAATAGCCATGATCAATTTGGCTGATGCTAAGCTCTCTGCGACAATCTTTTGCATCTTCCTTCTATTTGTTTCTTTAGGGAAAGGGAAGTCCAGACTAATGATGAAATCAGTTCATCAAGCAGTGTTCTGTCTCACGCATAACCAAAACAGCAGCTCAAGCCTGAGGAAGGACAAGAGCTGGGACAGATGCGGAAATACGAAATATTCTGGCTTTGCAGAACCTGTGAAGCCACACTCACTCCTGGGAGCACTTCACATCTTCAAGGTCATCCATCTCCTCTGGTAATACTCTTTTCGTAATTATGGGTATTATCTTTCTTTTACATTCACGTACAAGGTTATGTGTCTTAAAGGACAGTGTTAGCCTAGCAATCACACCTCAGACATAAAATATTTCTAGTATACCTCTGTCAAAATTAACACTCTGAGTACAATTGAGGTACCAGAGAGAAACATTCATTTTAATATATTCTCTTTACGTATGGTTTGGTTAGTGGTAGAAATTCAAATTCAGAACACCTAATTTTAGGCGTACCATCTGGCTATTAGCTAAAGTATTTCTGTAGCACAGTCGTATGTTTCTGAGAGTCTTTAATGCAAGGGAGATTTTAGAGGATGAAAGAAAAGAAAATGAAAGAAAAAAGAACTCTCTATCTTGGTGTAGTTCACCTAAGGAAGGGATGACTAGTCTATACCTTATGGGCTGCACTGACTGCCTGTGAATAGCTAAAGGGTATTTAAAATCTGCTATACAGTTTGAATTCTGATTGTGGGAGGAAGAAGGCAGCAGGGACTGCTGTACGTCCAGTTCCATCAACCATCTACACTGCTACTGCATGCCGCTGTCATATCTTCCCTGGAAGTTGTCCTCGGGATCCTCTCCTCTGCCACTGTCCAAGGCATGCCAGGTGACTGTGGTACATGTAAATGATTAGTTTTGCAGGAGGAAGGCTGACCTATTTTTGGTGGATGCACAAAGGGTGGTTATGGAACAGAATACTGCGCGTTCGGCAAGTTAAGCCATATAAAGAAATCTATTTTTTGCAAAGCTCTGTCTAGAAGGGCATCCTTTTTTTGTAACACTTCCTAACCATTTTTTCCTGTTTCCCTCCAGTGGTATTCATTACTCTATGCCATATTTTCAACAAAAATTAAAAGACACTGCAGAGGATGAAGTCACAAAAAACTCAGTTTCAGAAAATGAAACTTCTGTAAAACAACCAAGTCAATCTTTCCTCTTGGGTGTTGCCCTACACAAAGTGTTGCAGACTGTCTTCAGCCTGAAATTCCAGGAAGGTGCAATATGAACTGAAAACCAAGGTTAGAAGAAAGATTTACAAAATTGAAGCATGTATGTTCAGTTAATTTGTAAGAAATAAACTCCCCTTGAACTGAATCCTAAGTTTTTCACGTGATTTTCTTCAAAAATACTTCTACAAAAGCAATCTTATGGAGCTCCCAGAAATTGTTGAAAGATGTTGTATTCTTCAAGAAAATATGTGTTAAAGGGATAGCCTTGCCACTGCAGAATAGGAGCCTTGGAGACAAGTTATCTTTTCCTGTCACATATCTCCATAATAAAGTAATAGCCTTAGTGATACTTGTGCAACTCTACAGCATCTTCAAAATATGATCCCAGTGACAGATAAAAAATTATGCTTCATTCTGAGGTTTTCTTTTGTTGAAAGAGGTAGAATTTTAATCATGGTATGCCTGAGGATGACTGAAAAGTAATATCCATACTCTACTAGCTGGATTTTGTCCTGTCAAAGGAAATCTAGAGGAATTTACAAAGGAAACAGATCTGTTGGATTAATCTCTTTAAATGAGAAAATACAGATTAAAGCAAACAAAAGTCAGCATGATATAATATCCTTTTAGAGTCTGGATCACAGTGATTAGCTTTGTGAAATCCTTCAATACTCATCTGAAAGACTTAAAACAATGCATTGAGGTCTAAGGAAAGTGTGAACATACCAGCTCCTTCTTCTTCATGCACTCCATAAGGATAATGAAGAGGTGCTGTGCCTGGGTTCGGGTGTAAGTGAAAGTCTTCTGAATGGTAACTAGCAACTGGTCCCTCAAAGACTCATTGATAAGTCTGAAATTCAAAAACAAAAAATAAATCAGAAAAATAGACATGAGGGAAAAATGCAGCTTCAGCCAAGGGTCAAACACATAAGAGTTAGACAACAAATCACTACAGGTTGTTTTGGAGAGGTCTGAAGGACTGAAATTGCTGAAGCCATCAGACACAAACTGGAAGACACTGCTCTAGAGAAACACGTTGATCATGTTGGGGTCCCTCATCTCCAAAGTTTTTATTTCAGTTCCCACATGTTGCATGACAGAAGGTCACTCGAACTATGAGCTCTCTGGGATTTCCCAATAAAAACAAGAACCACACTGACCGTCTGATTTGAGGAAGACCAATGCTTCTAGGTGAACTGAAGACTTCTTTCTATCAGTTAGTTAGTAGCATTCTACTCATGGTTCATTTTATGAAACTGGGAGCTTTTGTGTTGTCAGTGTTTCTGATTTTAGCTTGCATATCCCAACGCTTTCAACTCACCTTATTGATGCTGCACAGGACCAGGTAAGAAAAACAAAAAAATTCCTGTGTTCTTGAATCCACTTGAAGAAACAATTTTGCTTTTATTCATGCGGATCTTCCAGGAGTTTAAAGAGTAACCATTTTTATATTCCTCCCCAGTGCTAATGTTAGTACCACCAAAAAGTGGCTCAACAGCAGAATATATAGTAATATTACATGGAATATTAGCATTTGAACCCTACCCCTTGATTTCAAAAAGCCTGTTCCTTAGGGCTGTTCTGGGTGAAACATTGTTGTTCTTAATGTCTTACAAGATAGTGGGCTCTAATTTAGAACATGTGTCCTTTGATGCCTGAAAGCTTCTACACTATTAACAATTTTCTTAAAAAATGTGAGTGTTTCAAATCAGCTGAGTCAGAATATACCATAGGATAAGTCATTGTTGATCATCTGGGGGAACAAAAATCAGAGAATCTTCACGACTCGTATTTTATGACAACAAAACCAAAGATTTAGCCCTGCAGCAACTGCAAAGAACTATCAGAAGCAGAACAATATCTAAAAGTCATTGTTAGCTTACAGCAGCTGATTTGGGAGAACAGCAACCAAATCCCTGTTTATTTCATACTATGGGTAAAAGCTGCCTGTACTTCTCTGCAGCAAGGAAGCCCAAATGAGACTGCAGGATATTCATTACACAATTGAATTTCATATACACAACTGAATTTCAAATATGATTTAACTATCTAGTCTTTATGCCTACAGCAAACATGTCATTAGATGAGATGATGAATGGGAATGAGAAAAAGGTATAGAAGTGCACAGGAGAATACAGAAGGCCCGGCATATGGAGTGCATATGTTCTCTACTCTCTAAATTTGACTTTGACTGTAAATATCTCTGTTGAGAAGGACTTCCACTTCACAGAGAAGCCTGTAAGACATATGTCAATATGCTTGGATTAAAATGAATTTACATGGGGTTTTAGGCCATGCTGTGCATCACTGGTCTTTCTATGCCTGGCTCCTCCTGTTGTCTTCTACTTTATTATGGACTCCTCTTGAATGGAGAGTCTACCTCTGCCTCTTTTCATCGAGAAGCAGTACGGCCCCAGATGTGCTTTTTCCTGGGATACTAGATAGGTGACAACACTGCATTTACTACTCACTCATTATGCACTCCTTCCCTGCATTGTGACCTGCTTCCCTCACAAAATGGCAACATATGGTGAGTTAAAGCCTCCAGCCCTCTTGGTGGGCAGCAATGGGAGCTGACAGCACATGGCTTTCTGTGTAGGGGTTATAAGAAAAATAACCTGACCTCTTGCATAGAGGCAAGCATGTTGCACATGGGAACATGAAACAAGATGTCAGAGCACAGGTAGAAATGTAGATTCACTCCGTGTTAAAGAGAATCAACTTGGAAAGTCTGACATGCTGAAAAGCACTAACACATTTTGAGTTGCAGATTAGTAGATCATATATGACATAAATTCTGAAGCCCCTTTTTAGGCTTATTAACAAAAATCAGTTGGAAATTTGCCTTAATGAAGAAGGCTGTTCTTAACAAAATGTTGCTATCACTGTAAATATAAGTGGTTCAGAACTATACAGTTTTCCATCCTTCAGACTAAGAAAGAAAAAAGGAGTTAATGACTAAACCCAAGTTTCCTAAAATTCTCAACTGGAGTATCTAAGAAGAGATTTAAAAAACACTCAGATTTCCTTCGGAAATGATATTTGAAAGAGAAGTACATGAAAAAATATGAAAACTATATGAAGTACATGAAAAAATACATGGAATTGGAAGAATCTGAAATTAGAGAACTTCAGAAAACATTTCCAAAGATCCTGGGATGAATACCGTCCTGTTTTCTCATCATAATTTAATTTTCGTTAAAACAGTGTAGAATCCAAACCTGAAATTTCATTTCAGAAATTGCCTCTCAGGCTAACACACACGGAAAGCAAGAGAAAGCATTGAGTGAAAGCAGAATTAAGTCCTAAGGCTTTGTAGGCAGCCATCACTTTCCTTTCCTGAATTAAAGCTGTTAGAAACTGTACCATATCATAAGTTTAAACAGCATGTAAAGCAAGGTCCATGTGAAAGATACTGAGTTTTTTTTTAAAAAAATGTATCAAGAAGTGGTTCTCTAACTACAGAAGTACATATCTGTTGAAGTCCCACTGCTCGGAAGCTTCCTGTTGTCATCATTTGATTTATTCAGTTTTCTAGCCTTAATAAGTACTGGTTTTTAACATCTCATTGGTCTGCAATTCTACAGCAAGCCTGTTCAATGCCTTTGCGAGATAAAAAACTTGAAGTGACTGTAATTAGAAATAGAAACAGTAATAGCAGGCTTTCTGATAAACTAGTCTTAGCTGAGCTAAGCTTTGTGCAAACTGAACCCAGTCACATCAAGACTATATGACACTTCTTACGAATCTATAAATGTTAGAAGGTATTAGATCAAAGTTCCCAATTGTGTAACCTAGCTGGAACACTTACAAACTGTGCCAGGCTATTAAAGGCTAAATCTGTAATGCATACACCAAATACAATGCGTGTAAAACAAGTAACTTCACAGACCACTACCAGCAAAATAACTAAGGCTTGCAGGTGCGGTGATGATTTATCTGCTGCACAAAGAACCACATTTATTACACATACAACCTTAGCACACATTCTTTAAGAACACAGACTCCCAATTTTAGATTTGGGGCAAAAGAGATGGCTTCTGAAACTCATATGCATAAAGCTCCATAGGCATAAAACTGTCCATATTACCAGACTGAAACTCTACTATCACAACTTCCTTCAAAGTCTGCATACTCCCACCATAAGAAAACTGGATCATGTCAGATGAAGACAGTATTTTTATCGTCTTTCTGCTAGGCTTCAGTTAAAAAATATTTTGCAACATACCAATAAAGTCCTGTTTAAGCCATTCTGATGGCATGATTCCTTGAATTCCACTTACTTTGCCATGGAAGCATTACTGCAGGTAACTTAATCCTGCCTAAACAAAATGTCCAACAAAAGGACAATTTAAGCTGTCCTTTTCTTTCGTTCCCCAGATAGTTGAAATCTGTTCTTTCATTCCCTAAATACCTAAGATAAGCCCATTTTCCCAATGGTCCATGTATCCAAAGTTTTTTTTTTTCCCAAGGGAGCTGGATTGATGATGGAATTTAGGTACCTACTGTCAAAAAGCTGGCATCTAAAGTAGAACTATATACATCTACATTTAGTTTCAGGAAAAACCTCTACTCATAATTGTTGCTGAGAGTAATTTTTGTTTTTATTAAAGAAGATGCCAATGTCAGTTTTGACATATCAGATTACCAGAACTGACCTGTATGGCCTTACTACAGTAAAAAAGGGTGAAAGAGGTCTTGGATCCATCAGGAGAGGCCACTTAAAAACACTGAAGTGACAAAATAAATAAAATTTCTATTTCTAATTCTGTCCAAGGTACGCTGGAATATTAAACAGCAAGCCTGAACTGCCTTCATTGCTTTGGCTGCTGCAGAAGAGACAGGTGACAGCATTTTTGCATCCTCTCTCCTCAGAAAGAATTTTTTTTTTAAGTCATGCCTATATGTTTGAGGATATAACAGACATTCCACTCAGTAACATCACAATCTTTCAAACCCATGGCATATGATTTTGTAGCAGACATTGGAGAGGATTTGAAAGATCTGGCCCATAGCCAGCTCTGAAATTGTTTCGTCTTTTTTCTCCAGAGATTTTTAGTACTGGAGTCATGCAATGTACTAGACATTTATAAATATTATGCTCTAATCCGATTTAAAAATTCAAGTTCATTATAGATTTTTTTAAACTTACTATTATCAAAATACCTTGAAATTCTCTAAATTAAACACTCCATTCAATGAACTGCACATAATCAATTTCTAACTTTTCATTTGTGATTTTTTTTAAATTATTCTTTTTATTCAGGATAAAGAAAATACATCCACAAAATATCAATGTGATGTGAAAACTATTCCCTGCCCTCCTTTATGGGAATCTTAGGGGATTTTCTGTTTTAATTATGATTTGCACTTTAGACAATCAAATCTTATGTAAGAAACATGACCAGAGGCTCTGCTGATATTTTCTTCCATTGGAATTACAAATAAGATACAGTTGTGCAACTCTGTGGGACTGACTAAATTTCTCATGCTTGCTAAATCCATGCATTTTGCATAGCATTGTTATGAGAAGAGACAGAAAACACATGTAATTATTCCTTCATTCTGTTCCAACAGGGATGATTTCTGAGTGCTTTTATGAGGAATCAGCTTTACTTGCAGCATTTCACTGGGAGTTGTTCCTCTGTACCGCACTGACTCTCTTTATGAAATAGTTGTCCGTTCACCAAAAAGAGAGATAATTGTATTTCAACAAAGAAACGTCCTTATTCTGTCCAGCTTTTGATTTGCAAAATAGTTTGTTACAAGAGAAAAGTAATGACATCAAAATATTCAGTGTGAAAGCAACCTTACAAAAGAATTCAGATGTGATAGTACCCATTATAGCCC